AAAAAAAAAAAAAAAAAAAGAGAGAGAAGAAAGAATAAAGGAAATGTGAGGAGTTACATTACATGCATGGGTTGATAAAATTTGATGTAATTAACTAATGCTGTAAAAATAAGTTATTATCCTCCATAAATCTTGTAGTTTCTCTGATTGGAGACTCATTGCTCCTTTGAACACACATTTCCCTAAGATTATTTTTTTTTAACTCAGCCATTGGTTCTGAAGCATGCTCAGTATATGCTTCTGAAGCAGGTGTATTTAAACAAGCAGCCAGAACACGTTTCTTTTTCTAGAAGTACAAAAGAAGAGTTACTGAGTGATGTGTTTCTAAGCCCTTGATAATGACTTCTTTTTTATCTTCTTGTAATACCTCTCATTGAGGTATCTTCTCTATCAGTGCAGTTATCAAGTAGGAAAGTGAGACTTTTATACAGGTGTCTGACATTTCCCTAAAGCTGTAGCAGTTATGATAGATGGCAGCATCTCAGGGAGATAACACCTCTGCCACAGAAAACCCCTGTTCAGTTTACATCCGCTACCAGTGACAGCAAGTAATCAAGGGAGAAATGAATTGCGTTGATTAAAGGAATCAGAACCAAGGGGGCCATGTAGGTCAGTGGTATTATTTCATTACCATGCTGCTCACTGGAGTCTGAACAACAGGTCACATCCATATCTCTGCAGTTGACTGGACACCACTGACTTAACAGGACTAGTTCAAAGAGATTCCCTTTAGAAGTCCATGGAAGTTTTATTTTTATTCCCCTAATCAACTTCCCCGATTAACCCTCTGGTTAGGAGTGAAGGAAAGCCAACTCAGAGGACTGCACAAAGTCATGTGTTTTCTGGGAAAATTAGGTACTAGCAAACAAGATTTAGTATTATTCATTTGTCTTCCCATTCATTCATTTCCCAGAAATACAGTTGCAGATTTTGCATGCCACGCTGTGAGTGCAAAGAGGGACTGAAAATATAATTCAAGACACAATCCTCCCTTCTATCAATCTTCATTAAATATTATTAAATAAATGAAATATTGCCTCTAATTTGCAATTGCAAATTTTGAAATAACAAAAACTGTTTTCAGTCGCATGACATGATATTTCATCACTAACAGAGAGAGGGAAAGAAACCCTCCTCACACTCAAAATGGAATTCATTTCCATTTTCATTAACAGTTTTTGTCTTCCACTTCAGTTAAATGCCTGATATAAGCCAGATACACAGAACTGCGAAATTATGGAAACAACTGCAGTTCTTTTGAGTATATGAGTCATAACCAAATGAGCAAGGGAACAGCAAAACTATTTATGTAATTACTCAGCTATTAAGTGAATGGCAGCATACAAGGAAAGAAAAGCTAAAAAGAAGCAAACAAAAAAAAAGCAAGTATTGTGTTGAAACTAGATTCCCCACAGATTCAGGGGTTTGTTTGCTTGGCTGGAGGGTTTGTTTTTTTCTTCTGTTCTTTAAATTTGTGATCAGTTTTATCAATGAAAGCTCTAAGAAAAGCTGGATTTCATCCTAGGATTTCAAGGGAATTAATTATAGAGAAGCTAGTCAGCATATAAAAAACAAGGTTGCAGGAGTGAATGGAGTAAAAAGGGAAGAAGCTGTTGGCAGATATAGACAATATTTCTGATATTTCTGCACTTAGAAGGACAACTGGTTTTCACAGTATTGCCTAGTGGCTATTCAGGAGGTCAAGCCCTTGAGGCCTGTGTTTCCAGGACTCTGAGTGACCTCAGCCAATGGCTGATTGCTCCAGGCCTTTTGGCTCTGTTTCTCTCTGTATTCCTATTTATCTTCAACACAAATCTAATGGTACTTCCAGGAACAACCTGATGGGCTGCTGTGAAGCCCAACCAGTTAGAGAGATATCCTTAAAGCAATATCTTTAACATGGCATGGCTGTTTTATTCAGGTACATCAGTTCATTGTGTCTCTTACCAGCACTGTTCTGCTGGTGGAAGTACCTCAAAAACCTGCTGTTACACAGGCAGAACTGTATTCTGAGCATTGTTTTTATTAGCGCTAAGAGCCAGTGGTGGTTTTATTACTTTGGCACAAGGCATATGGCCATCAGTGTCAGAGGATACAGTATGCAGTGAAGCAATTGTAGTAACCCCTGCTCAGTACAAAAACAATGGCTTAGATGGCAAACCCACATTTCAATAATGCCTTTAAAAAATGTACAGTGCTTTGCAGTTTTACTTTTCACTCATCTCTCTTCCATCCTTTTTTCTTTCTCCTGTTTACCAAACAGGGTAGAACTTCAGAGCTCACCTCCCTATTCACTTCAGTTTTCTACAGGCAATTTGTAAGCCAGCAAATCATTGTTTCCCAAGGGTCCCATTAACTAAACTTATCTGGTCTGTTAGCCAGTCCTATTTATCTGCAGTTAATAAAGCATCCAGGTGCATTAATTTAGTGGAAAGCTTTGAGTGTTGGAGCACAGTTGTACCATCATTTCTCTCTGCTGTCTAGATGTAGTCTTTAAGGCTTTGTGCCCTCATCTGTTACAGTCAAGGTCTAACCTCCTCCTGCAGTCTGACTGGTATGCCTGAGAGCAAAACCACCCCCCTGGGGGGAGGGAGGTAGAGGTGTTATGTACCAAAGAAGGGGGTGCGCAGCACTTGGCAGGATTTGTAGCCATGCAAGGAGAGGTTACTACAGGGGTGGCTGGAGGACCTCACAGAGCTCATGTGTTAAACACATCTCCAGGTATGTAGGAAAATGTGTAGGCTTTGTGGCGTAGTGTCCTACCTTCACTGTAGGCTATGTACACTTCAGGTGAGATACAGACATCTTGTACGCAGTAGTTAGGAATGACACACAGAGTGACAGCAGATGCCTCGTAAGTACATGGGCAACATTTTACAGCTTTTGTTTCGTATTTGGGATGAGGATAATGCCTTCTACAACTGCAGTTGTGATGTGGAGGTAAGCCAGCAGTAAAACATCAGGAGTCCGCTTCCAGATGACTTGATGACAATATTTATGTCTGAGTTTGGTTTTATTAAGGGCTTGGACTATAAATCTTGAATTTATCTTCTTCCTCCTTAACAATTAAGATCTCTGAATCAGATCTCTGAAAAAGAACAAAGCAATTCCTCTTACTACAAGGACACATCTTAAAAAGCACAAGCTTCAGATTTGTTTCACTTGTCAATAAACAAGACCTTGTCTTTGTTTAAATGTTTATGTAGTCCAATACTTTTGATGGAGCTTTTTGATTAATCACCTGAATAGTTGGAATGGCCTTAACAGTTTTCTGCATTCAGCTGGCAAATGGAGTTTAATTCATTACCTACATTTAATTAAAAATGATGTAAAGTCCCAGGATGTGCATGGGACATCCTAAGATGTTGCCACTGTGCGAGGGGG